ATAGCCAAAAACTGGAAACAATCAAAACTTCCAAAATGGGGGACTGGTTTAATTATAGTACATTCAAACAGCAGAATACCATGCTGTTGTTTAAAAGAAGAATTAGAAGAAGAAGAAGAAAGAGAAGAAGAGGAAGGAGGAGAAAAATGAAAAAGAATCTTAAAGCTCTCTATCTGCTGATACGGAAAGATCTCCAAGATGTATTATTAAGTGAAAAAAGTAAGGTGTTGAATAGTGTGTACGTTACTTTTGTATAAAGATGGGGAAGGACAAGGATGCATATTCGAATTCACTTATATCCATACAAAGAAACTTTGAAGAGACAGAAGCATAAGAAACTAAGACCAGTAATTTATTTGGGGGTCAGGGAACACTGGCAGATGGGAGACAAGGATGGGAGGGAGAGATTTCACTGTCTGCCTTTTGACACTTCTGTTTTTGAATCATGCGACTATATGACCTATGCAAAAATTAACCTAAAATAAGGGAATATTGACTTAGCTCTTCATGAATTTATATTCTTCCATATAAAATTTAGAATACTTTTATTGAATTACTAAAAAAAAAACAATCCAAGTCTTGACTAGGATAAAACCCTCTGCTCCTCCCCTCAAGGGTCAGAAGTACACTGACAGCTTTGAGGGCCTGAAGCCAAGAGAAGGCCCTGGTCAGGTGGTAACCAGGACTGGAAACAGTTCCGAATTCAGGAGAAAGACCTCAAGTTGTAGATGGCTATTGGTTTTCGTTTAAACCCTGGCCATTTAGAACCATCTATTCTGCTCCTTTATGTTTGCCTAACTGTTTTATTAAGGAATGATCTCTCCAGGGAAGAGGGGAAAAGAAGTATCTAGTATAAATCTTTCAAATGACCCTGTCTGAACTTCCCTGGTGGCGCAGTGGTTAAGAATCCGCCTGCTCAATGCAGGAGACACAGGTTTGAGTCCTTGTTCGGGAAGATCCCACATGCCGCGGAGCAACTAAGCCCGTGGGCCACAACTACTGCGCCCATGTGCCACAACTACTGAAGCCCGGGCACCTAGAGCTCGTGCTCCACAACAAGAAAAGCCACCGCAATGAGAAGCCTGTGCACCGCAATGAAGAGTAGCCCCGGCTCACCACAACTAAAGCGCGTGCACAGCAACGAAGACCCAACGCAGCCAAAATAAATTAATTAATTAATTAATTAAACAAAACAAAACAAAACAAAAAAACCCTGTCCATGATCCATGACTACTTGCACTAGTGAGGACAAAGCCTCGTCACCCACCTGGTGGCAGGTTATCTTAACTGCAGGCCGAGTGCTTGAGAAAAGGGCCTTTGTTGAGGGGCTTCCCTGGTGGTGCAGTGGTTGAGAGTCTGCCTGTCGATGCAGGGGACACGGGTTTGTGCCCTGGTCCAGGAAGATCCCACATGCCGCGGAGCAGCTAAGCCCGTGAGCCATGGCCGCTGAGCCTGCGCGTCGGGAGCCTGTGCTCCGCAACGGGAGAGGCCACAACAGTGAGAGGCCCGCGTACCGCAAAAAAAAAAAAAAACCAAACCCAAGAAGGGCAGTTGGACACGTTTTGCAAACTTGTTTGTTTTCTTTCCCTAAACATCAGTCCAGCTTCTTGTCCCAAAGGATCATAGACTCCAAATTAGTAGAATGAAAATTAATGAGATTTTCCAGTAATAAGCCCGAGACTAAAATGATGGAAAATCCACTAATTATAGACTATGCAGCCACCTAACCACGACTTGGATCCAGGCCTCTGGCGGGGAGGGAGGCGAAGGGAAGAGGGAAGGTCGTCGATGCAACCTGTGCCTCACAGTCCTTCCTTCCTGCTGCCACTGCCCTTTTCCTTGGGCTTGGGGGCCTCGCAGCACCCAGAGTTTCCTGCCTCTGAACTCCTACCCACCTCCTGCCCCCAGGTCAACCAGGCCCTGCTTCTAAGGGCTCTGTAAGGCTAAATTCCTGGAAACTGCAAAATAGGGCCCAGAGTGGAGGTGGGGGGTATGTTTTTGCCTCAGTTCTGGGAAGCAGTGGGGGAGGAGTGCAGGGAGAAGAAGAAGGGCAGAAAAGGCAGACAAAATGCCCATTATACCCAAGCCCTGTTAATTTCCTTTTTTCATCTCTTTATCAGTGTTTGTTGACTGAGCTTCTTATCAACAGGAAACGCCTGCCTAAGGGGATGAGGCAGGTCCAGGGGGACTGGACGCCAGGGGCCAGGAGCTCTGGGTGGTACGGTGCTGCTCTCCAGCCTGACTGAGTGGCCTCATGATTCCCAGGACGCAGCAAGTCTCCCAGGCTCCTCACCTTGGCATCTGGTGAATCCTTAGGTCTCCATAGTGAGACACGACAGCAGACAGGCCCTGATGATCCCTTTGCCGGGGCTCCAACCCTAGCCTTCTGTGACCAAGGACAGGTCACCAAACGGCTCAAGCTGTGACATGAGAATTGTCCTTGCCCCTAAAACCCACCAGCCCCCCTCTTTTCTAACTGAGAGGCCAAGTGACCTGCCAAGGTCAACAGACGTCTTAGTAAGTCACCCTAACTGGCCCTTCTAGCATGTTTGCCTTTATCCCTCAGAGCCTGGTGCCTATTCTGGGCGTCCAGGCCTGGGACAATTAGGTGCTTGGCACAGACTTCTGAAGGAGAGGAGGGGACTCTAGCATTGATTGACCTCCTACTATGTGCCAGGTGCTTTAAAAACATTGATCATCAGTCTAGGATACCCGTCTCCCAGATGGGGCTCCCGGAAGAGGGACAGACTGAGGGTCAGATTTCACAGGAGGCTAAGAGCAAGTCTTAGAGCTGAAAGTAAACGTCCGAGACGGATAGCTGGGCCAAGCCAGCTTTCTGGTGGCCGAGAGGAACAGGTTTATCTAGATGTCTTCCGTCAAACTGGCAGAAGACTGAACCAACCATATGGGAACTGGCTGTTCTGGTAGAAGAGGCGGGAAAGGTTTGTGTACCACAGAATGTGGGCCACCTTGCTTCCCGTTCCTTGCCTCTGCCTATCAGTTGCCCCCGAGCAGCCCCACTCTGCTTTTGGTGGTGCTGGTGGTAGTAAAGGAAACGCCAGTGTGCCCCCTGCCCCCCCCCCCCCCCCGGCTTCCCGGACAAGCCTGCTCTGCCCCCCACCTCACCACTTGCTCCTGCAGTTGGGGATCTAGGTCAGTGAGAGTGGGTAGGTGAAAAAGAACAGAGAAGAGACTCCTCCAGACGTGACACCCACAGGGCAGCAGTGACAACACTTTAACCTGAAAGCTGCCTGAAAATAGACTGTGTGTCTATGACATTATGCAGATCATATGCAAAGACAAGAAGCCTTCTGTCTCTATTTCTAGCAATCTGAACGTGGCCCTGGTAGAAGCAGCTCGTTCCAAGAGTCGCCCACCCGGAGTGATGACTGCACAGTCAGCATCGGTCCCCGCCCTGGGAGACCGGACTCAGGACGTGCACTCCTCCGCTCCATCCCTGGGGCTGGATCTTTTGGGCATGGGGATTTGCCACTTCTTGGTCTGTTAATCTGGATGTGAGAGAGGCTCTAGAGGGAGAAGAGCCACCCTCTGAGGGTAGATGCGGGGCAGGACTGAGGGAGAATGGTGACTGGGAGAATAGGGAGAACTGGGTACCACAAGGCCTTGGCAGGGGAGGGCGTGGTCCTCAGCATCAAAGCTCACGCTCCAGGAACCAGCTTCACTCTCATTTGGGCGCGTTACACAGACACTCATCACCCCTCAGAGAGAATCCTTACCACACAAATGGTCCTCTCCCTCTTTATATAGATAAGGCAATTGGAGCCTGGGGTCCCCCAGGAAAGTAAGACAAAGCTGCGAAGAAGGTGATGGGTTTTCTTCTTTCAAAGGCAGGCAGGTTCCCTGAGGCTCTACATGGAGGCAGGGGCTTAGATGCCGCGACCTCCCACCGACTCTGGAGGGCAACGAGCCAATTCTTTTGCAGATCCCAGCCTGTCTTCTTGTGATTTCTTTTCCGTAATATTCCTACGGACCTTCTGCCCACACGCCAACCATAATGTGGACATCAGGGTGGGGATTTAAGGACCAGGGACTGGCAGGCACAGGAGGAAGGGAAAAGCTGCCTTTGCAGGACGCCAGGAACGCTCTTATTTCCCCAAAGCTGGTGTAAGAAGTCCTCTGGGAAGGAGGGTACTGTCTCTTGTGGAGGTCCATGGACATTGGCATCCACAGTCCTAGCCGGCTCCAGGCCTGAGGCCGCTTGGGGGCTGCTGGGAGGAGGGCAGGTCCTCGTGGTAAAACGAATTGGGATACCCCTTTACCAAGGGTACCCCTTTCTGTGGCTCCCTAAGGGGGCCTCTACTGCAAAGGCACAGATCTTCTAGGCTGGGCGGTCAAATGGAAAAGCCACCTCTTGTCTTCTTTCAGTACCTGCCTCCCCCATGGTATGTCCCCGCCCTCAATTTCCCGTGGGGAGAGGGAAGGGTGCTGTCTGAGCCCGCCCAGGACGCCAAGGTGGGATCCCGAGGATGGCGGTCGCCTTCTCATTCTGAGGATGAAGACTGACTCCAGGCAAGGCGGGGGCCCCATCTGAGGAGGGGATTGAGAACAGGGAATTAAGGCGGGCGCGTCCAAGCTGCCTCTGAGTGAGGACGCAGCTCCTTTCTAGATGTGGTTTTCGGGGGACCGTCCCTACAGAACAGAAGCATAGGGAAGCTCACGCACGCGGGCACCGGGTGGGGAGCTCCTGGGCGGGTAAAAACAGGCGATCCCCGCGCGGGAGCGGGGCGGGGCGGGAGGCGGCCGCTGGGTAGCCCTTCGGCCAGCAGAGGGCGATGCGGAGGCGCCGCGAGCAGGCTACTCCCAGCCGGCGGTGGGAACTGAGATTTGGCTCCAAGCGGGGGCCTGCGCCAGCTGTGACTTGTCTCTCACGGGCAAAGCCCGGGCAGGATACCCTGGGACCCTCTCCTTCCCCGTCCCCTCTGGTTCCCTCTGCGATGGGCCACTGCAGAGGCACCGGCCTGCGAAGACTCAGCAGGAGCTCCGGACCTTCAACCATGCTTTATTAAGGACCTACTGTGTGCTAAGCACGAGCTAAATGCTCCCACGAAGAGTATCTCCAGGTTAAGAGACTGTAATTTCGGCCTTGGAACACCGTCCTGAACTCAGAAGCATTATGCAGACCGCTCTCACCAATGCCTCCTCCTCTCCCTGGCCACAGCTGTACTCCCAACCCCGGCCGCTTCCCTCAACCCTCCCCCATCACTCCACCTCTTGCCTCAGACCTTCTCCTCTTAGGGATTTTCCAGCCTTTGGTGAGCTGCTGCCTTCAGTTTCTGGCTGTGGAGTCTCAGGAGACTTTTAACCCCCAAATCCAGTGGAGATAAAACCCTTGAGGAGTGTCCTGATTCCTGGGCTAGGTGGGTTCCAGTGACCAGAAGACGTGACACTATCGGGAAGCAGAGTGACCCACGACGACGTGGGAACGTGGCAGGTCCATGTAGCTTTCTGTTTCACCCAGTTTCACTTCCTGGTTCTCCTCCGGGCCTTGCACAATGCTGGGAGGCAGCCTGGGAAGGTGCCTCTCTGACGGTGGAAGGAAGAAACACTCGAGAAGCCGAGAAGCCGGCCAGGGAGGCTGTGCTGGGGCGTTTCCAGCAGGAGGGGAAGGAGGCTGTGTTTCCTTAATCTCCTGTGGACAACTGAAGGTCCTTCTCCACCCTGTCCCAGGCTGAGGGCTGTGAGGCCAGGTCTTCCCAAGCTTGGGGCTGTCATGTCCCTAGCCTGAGCTCTGTTCCCCACCAACACTCAGGCCCCACCTCCAGCCCCATCACCCTCCAGCCCATCTACCCGCCTAGGATTCAGGGTAACCTCCTCAGCGCATGGACATACACCCTCGATATTTCCAAACGCCGAACTTTCCATGTGTTTCTCTCCAGCCACCAGGTTCTTCCTAGACACACACTCTCTGGGGCCCGGCCAAGGGTGTGGGCCTGGGCCAGGGGCCAGTGGGGAGCAGGAACCTGGGTGCTGCAGGCTTGCTGGCTGGAGCCAGATTTCTTCTGAGCCTTGAGGCCCTGCAGGAAGCTGGCCCCTGGCCCCTCTCAGCCCTGGGCAGAGAAGGCGAAGCTATAGAGCAGGCGAGGGGCTGGCTTGCCTGCCAGAAGGCCCAGGGCTGTGTGAGCCCAAGGATGGCCACAGGCATGCGTTACGGCCGGAACTGGAGCTCGTGGAATTAAACTAGGAGGCATTTCAGACACCCTTGGCCTCAGCTAAAGTTATTTTCAAATCTCCATCTTGAGGCAAATTGCCAGGGGCTGGGGCACAATGAGTACAAGGGACTGATGAACTGAGTTCTGACACAGGCTAAACATTTCAAAGAACTTTAGAGCTGAAAAACACCTCAAAAGACATCAGGACCAAATCTTCATCTACAAATCTTTCAATATGTAGATAAAGAAACAAAGGTCCTGGGCCAGCGAAGCCCTCCTTCTTGTCCTGTAGAGCAAGCACCCGGACCAGACCCTGGGTCTCCTGACTCCCAGCTGAGCCCTTCCCCGACAGCCATGCTTGGCTCCAACATCCTCTCAGTTTATTCTGAAAGTCCTGGGCCTTGCCCATCTGACCTGCCACCTCTCCACTGGCCTATGACTCTGCCACGCCCGCAGCAAGACTCCTTGGGTTTAACGCCACAGTAAGTCAGCTAGGAGGGGAGTGGAGCAGGGGCCCAGGATCAGGTCCCCCGCTCTCTCGGGCAGCTAGCATTCAGCTAGCAGGGGTCTTGTCTAGGAGATAGAGGCCCAAGGCGGCCTGGAGCTGAGATACAAACCCACGGAGAAAAACCCATGGGCCTGGGTGTCTGAGGCTTGGGACAGAGGCTAAAGCCTGGCAGGGCAGGGTGTCTACTGAAGGCTGGATGGGGCCCTGTGCCACCCTGGCAGCTCCGGTGGGGCAGTGGGGTTGACTGACAGCAGGGGGTAAAGTGCAGGCCACCCTGGCTCTGAGGCCTCTTTTGCATCAGGTCCTGGGGGTGGTAGGGGGGTGCACCCAGGGTGTGGGAGGCGGGGGGGTGGGGGGGAACCCGGCGTCAGGGAGCCTGCTGCTTTGAGCAGGCCAGACGGCGCGCGCGGCGGGTGCGGGGATCGGGTTTCAGCCCAGCTGTATTTTTGGCTGGATGGGCTGGGGGCCGAGTTGGGCAGGCACAGCTGCCCACGGAGGGGCACTCCCCTCCCCAGCACACACACTCACAGAACCTCTACCCAGACAGGCCACCATCCACTGCCCACCACACACACTGCAGGCGGAGGGGAGTCAGGCTTCAGGCCTGTGGCTAGTGAATCCCTTTGGGCCTCTGGAGACCGTTGCTGAGCTTCTGTAGTGTCTTCTTGATCCGCAGCGCAGTGAGGCGGGCAGAGGGGTTTGGGTACCAGCACTCCCGCATCATCTGAGCCAGGCCTGAGAGGACCTGGGGGGAGGGAGAGCGAAGCAGAGGAGAGAAAGCAGAGACACGGGTCAGGGAAGGTGGAAAGGAAGAGGCGAGGAGGATGCCCAGAAGTGGGGAGACACGAGCAGAACAGAAAGGATGAGAAGACGGAAACGAGAGTGTCGAAAAGGAGGGGGAGAGGAGGGACAGAAATGGTGGTAAGAGGGAGCGTGGCGGGAACCAGGCAAGGATGAGGAAGAAAGATAAACATGGAAGACGAAGGGAGTGGAGTGAGAAGGGGATGGAGAGAGGCAGGCAGGACGGAAAGAGAGATGTAACTCAGATCTTCGGGGACACCCTTCGGTGAGTACACCCCACCCTCACCTCCACCAAGATCCAGGAAAGGGGAGATCTGCAGGCCTCGGGGCTCCCACGTGCCTATCTGCAGCGGAACCCCAGTGTAGAGGGCAGTGGTTCCCAGCACCTCCACCAACCCTGGCTGCGTCCTCAAAATGCATGTGTCTAGGGAGGAACCTATCCCAGGAGTCTCAGCGGTCCCAGAGTGAGCCAGCCTCACTCCACCTCAGAGCTCGAGCCGGTTCCCGAGCCAGAGCGTATGTGTGTGCACAGGAGTACATATGAGTGGCTTTTCGTGGCTCTGTATGTTGTGCAGAAATATACACGTGTCTGTATACATACATGTATACACATGTGTACGTGGATTAATTCTTTCCATAAACATTTACTGAGTACCTACTGTGTGCCAGGCACTGTGACAGCTTAACAGGGAGATAAGGGTCAGCAAAGGAGACATGCTTTTCCTCTTCATGGGGTCAACAGTCTGGCATATACATGCATGTGTGTGTACCTGTGAGTGTGTGTTTGTGTAGCAGCGCGTGCATGCCCCTGTGTGTCTATATACACGTATGCATGTGTCCTGTGTAAGTATATGGAGTGTTCTGAGAAAGAACAAAAATGAGTAACAACAACAAAAACTTCGTGGCAGGAAATGCAGCGGAGAGCCTCTGACTTTTCAGGCGAGGTGAAGGGTTCTGGTTACCAGAATAACCACAGGGTCCCGGAGGTCCACAGGCAGGGACGTGGGAGGGAGTACCCAGAGAAGCGCCCTGGAATCTGTCCCCCAGAATCTCTCCAGGTGAAGCAGAGGCCAGACACAAGTTCCTGGGCTCAGAAATCCCAGCTGTGAGCCACCACCCCACGCCATCCCAGCCCCACCAGAGGGGCCTTACCGGGTCTGCAGCCAGCCGGTTGGGGATAGTGGGGGTCTGCTGGTCAACACACACCACCTTCTTCATGTCCTCAAAGCTGGGATCATTAGGTACCACATCATAGAAGGGTGGCCTGTAGTCCTCCACGATGCCTAGGGATGGAGGGCAATGGGACAGTCACTTGGGACCTCAAGGAGGCCCAATACCACCCAGAGGACAGCCTTGCCCACCCTCTGTCCCAGGGTCCAGGAAACCAGTTGCCTGGCCTTGCTACCCCTGAGAGAGACACCATAATATAATAAATATATTTATAAATAATGATAATTACTGCCATTTATTTTACATTTACCATATATGCCAGGCATCGTGCCATAAACACTTTACATGCATTACCTTGTTGGTCTTCACAGCAACCCGAAGACCCATTTTACAGATGAAGAAACTGATGCTCAGAGAAGTTGAGCCCACGGTTACACAGCTAGTAATGGCAGAGCCAAGACTTAAACTCATTGTATTCCTAGGCCAGATCTTGTTCCAGTCTTTCCACAGCTGCCTCCCACCCAGGGCCTGGGTACTGCTCCCAGGCCCCAACTATCACAGATGCCCCCAAATACCTAATGTTCACTGAGCACTTACTATGTGCCAGGCACTGTCCTAACTGCATGGCATTAAATCCTCACAACAACTCTATGAGGTAAGCAATACTATTAGCTCCACTTTATAAAAGCAATGAAATTCAGGCCAGAGGAGTTAAGAAACTTGTCTAAAATCACACAGGTAGTAAGGGACAGAGGTAGGATTTAAGCCCAGAAAGTCTAACCAAAGCCCATGCTCTTGACCTCCAAGCTACACTTAAGGAAGGGAGGCTGGCTGACTGCTGGATGAGGATGTGGAATGAGGGAAAGGGGGAGAAAGCACATCTCCTAAGAGAAAGAGATTTTCACCCAGGTCCAGATCACATCCATCCACTCCCAGGGGTGGCACAGGCCTCTGCTGACCCCTTCAGCCAGCAGCGCCCCCTCCCCTCGTCATCTGAAGTACGTGGTCCTTAGCAGGAGTTTTCAGAAGATGATGCCTGTGGAGCTGCAGGCACTGGGGCAGAAGAGGCCAGACCCCAGAAGAGCGCCCCAGGCCACACCCTGCTTCCAGCCCCCGGCTGGGAGCCGCGGCCACACAGCACAGCCGCAACCTCGGTAGGGCCCACGCCAGCTGTGCTCCCCGTGGCGGGCTTCCAGGCCAGCCCCTGTGCTGCTCGAGCCCTAATCAGTGCTGCACAGAGGCCTGAGCGTGTCTAATGGGCCTTTAATCAGCGCCGGGGCTGACACCAGATTACAGTGTTTATAATGCGCCACGAATCTGTGTGGGGCTGACAGAGCTTCCCTCCGCTCCAGGAGTCGGCAATCGTCCTCCCCCTCAGCTCAGGCTGGTCCAGCCTCCCTTTCCTGCCTGAAGCCTGGTCCAAGGGGCTTCAGCTCCTTCCAGGTGCCCCCTTCCCCAGCCCCAGCCTCTAGAGCTCATGTCTGAAGGGGCAGGGACCTGAGCCCATCCAGAGGGTGGTCCCCAACCTGTCAGGACTCCCAGCAGCCTCTCCCCATGGACAGCCTCCACAAAGACTGATCACCTCCCCACCTGGTCCAGACCATCACCCAACACCCATCCCCCCCAGGGCCGGGAGGGCACCAGCCACAGGGCGGCCCCCTCTATGGGGCCATCAGGAACGAGGTCCCCCGCCTGCTCTCAGCCCCTCCAAATCTGAGTCCCCTGTGGCACCCACGGTAATAAAGAGGCAGCAGGGAATTCCCTGGCAGTCCAGTGATTAAGACTCTACACTCCCAATGCAGGGGACACGGGTTCGATCCCTGGTCGGGGAACTAAGATCCCACATGCTGCACGGCTTGGCTAATAATAATAATAAGGCAGTAATAAGCAGGCACTGCAAGCGCTACTATATCCCGCGTTTTTGCGGTCAAAGAAACCAAGGACCGGAGAGGTAGAAAAAGCACGGTAATAAAGAGCACTGAGCCCCCAGAGTCAGATTGCCTGGTTTCAGACCCCAGTGCTGCCTCTAGACAGCTGTGATTCTGTGCCTCAATCCCCTCATCTGTAAAATGGGGATGATACTGTGTCACGCATGCGTCATTACAACAGTAATTGCCACTAATATTTACTGAGCTACAGAACAGCTCCAGATGCTGCCCTGAATACCCTATTCGGATTATCTCAACAACTAGAAGTTATGTTATTCTCATCTTACAAATGAGGAAACTGAGGCACAGGAAGGTTAAGTACCTTGCACACGGCAAAATCAGGAACTGAGCTCAGGCAGTCTGATTCCCAACCCACGCTCTTAACCACTAAGCAATACCACCTCCCTGCCAACAAAGAACGATTCAATAAGATAATACGTGTATACAGCGTGGCATCTGGCACATGTTGAAACTCAATAAATGTTAGCTGCTCTTAACACTTTTGTTATTGTCACTTACCCAAGATTTCACAGCCAGAATCGGACTCAGATGAACCTTAAAAGGTCACTCAGCTGGACCAGCTGGTGAGTGGCAGTAAAGGGAATATGGGAGGTCTGACCACAGCCTCTCAGGCCACGGGCACCAGCCACGGCAGGAAGTCCCATCTCCTGCCTGTCTATCCACCCACCCTATTCCCCTTTCCCTATCCTGTGCAGGGGGGAGCCTCACCATTGACAATGGTCCGGCGGGCGATCTCCCACAGCACCAGGCCAAAGGCCCAGATGTCCGTCCACTTGTAGGACTCGAAGCAGTCGGTTCGGATCTGCTCTTCCAGCACCTCGGGGGCCATGTACCTCTTGGTGCCCACGCGCGGGTTGTTGCCGATGTCCAGGTAGTCGCTACCCTGGGAGTGCATTACAGCCAGGCCTGTGGGTACCGGGCCTGTCACTCCTGCCACTCATCCCAGCCCACAGACAGGGTGGCCCCTGGGAGGCTGGGGTCCGGGGGTGAGGTGGGATGGAGAGAGATGGTAGGACGTAAGAGGGGCCGGCACATGGAGACCCGCCCTGAGGTGGGCTGGGAGACGGCAGCCACGGGGAGAATAACTGTCCCAGTTACACTGTGCTTGTGTGGTGCCCTCTAGGTGCAAGAACCCAGCGAGGTGTGAGTAGGGGAGGCAGGCATTATGATGCCCATTTCACAGAGCTGAACCCCAAGGCCTGGTGACGGGGAGCGATGTAGTCAGCGAAGCCAGGACGAGAACCCAGGTTGCTGGCTCCCTGCCCCTTTCTCCTAACTCCTGGAGCTCGGCTGGTGTGGGCTTGAAAAGAACGTTAAGGCAACCTGTGGGGCTCTTGGAGAGGTGAGATGAGACCAAACACGCGTCTGTAAGTTTTAAAGCGCCAATCAGTGTCCTCACCGACGCAAGGCATCCAAACCAGCAAAGGCAGTACCGCGTGGAAGGGGAGGAGCTCGCGGACCCCGCCCCCCGCGAAGGGCCCGCCCCTCCCCGCTCACCCAGGTCCGCGATGCAGCACTGCAGGTTGCTCTTGACCAGCACGTTGCGGCTCTTGAGGTCGCGGTGGGCGATGGCCGGCTTGCCCTGCGTGCCGAAGATCTCCACGTGCAGGTGTGCCAGGCCGCAGGCCGCGGACACGGCTAGCCTCAGGGCCAGCTGGGGCTCCAGCGTCTGCCTCTGCAGAAAGTCGTAGAGCGAGCCATGCTCGTGGTAGTGCGTGATAAGCCACAGCTGCGTGCTTGAGTTGCGGGAAGTCATGTCCGAGGCGATAAAGCCTGTGGGCGGAGGGTCAGGTGGCTCACCAAGGGTCTAGGGATGAAGGAGGCTCGACGGGTCAGGGTCAGGGCTGGGGACAGAGGATGCACTAGGTCAGGGCAAAGCTGGGGCTGGGGTGGAGGCTCGTCTGGCTTAGGTCAGAGAGGAAGCTGGAATCAGAGGGCTGAGGAAGCTGAGGGCCGGCTGGGAGTCCTTCAGGGTTAGGTCAGTGTCCAGAGGCGAGGTGGCGGTCCAGCCCTGAGTGCGGGGGGATGAGAGCCGGGGGCCTGGCACCGCACCCTCCCGCTTGCCTAGGATGTTGTCGTGTCTGAGCAGCACCGTGTTGTAGATCTCAGTCTCCCGGAACCAGGACTGTTCATCCCTCGAGGAGAAGATCTTGACGGCCACACTCTCACCATGCCACAGGCCCCGCCATACCTCGCCATAGCGGCCCTTTCCTGATCCGATGGCCAGAGAGGAAGGAGGGGGGTCACATACCGGACACACAGAGCCCGTGGGCACAGTAATCCCCAGAAGAGTCCCCATCGTTATGCTGCACCGACTTCATCTGCAGAACCTCTGATGATTATGTTTTAACTTAATCCAGACCCAAAGGCAGCCGGCAGGCCACCCCCATTGCCTCTTGCTCCAGCCCAGCTCCTGCAGAAGGGTCTGGCACTGACCCATCTCCAGCCCCCTCCCTGGCCAGCAGCATTCCCATTCGGAGCCAGGCCTGGCCCCACCTGTGACGCCGGAGGCCAAGAGCTCCCTCACCCCTCCAAGCTCATGGGAGCTCTTGGTCCCCATCCCCCGGGCTCACCCACTGCTCACCCACACACTCCACCAGAGCCACCTGCCGCGCCACTGTCCTCTGCACCAGGAAGGGGAGCCCTGAGCCACTGCCGGTGGTGCAGTCACTGTCCAGGAGGTCCTGGGAGTACCGAGAGGCCACTGAGAGGCAGCCACGACCCGCCCAACCCGTTTCTCCCTCCTCGACCCGGGCCCCACTGCTGTGTCTCTCCAGGCTTCTCACTCACCAACCCCTCCTGTCCAGCACCCAGTCAAATCTCTGAGTGCTCGCCATTGTGCTCTTCTCGGCTACCTGCCACTCTGGGTCGCCTCTGGCTCTGTGCCTCCTGTCTACTCTCACCACCCTGTGTCCCTGGTTCTCCCAGTCCCATACCCCCAGCATGCTGTCCCCCTGCTCGGATGTCTTCAGGATGAGGCTGGACTCGCCCAGCTCGCTGTTCAGGCTCCGCTGCTTCTCCTGCCTCCGCCGGACATGCCACAGGCCCAGGGCACCCAGAGCCACTAGGACCAGCAAGGCCAGCACGGGGCCCAGGATGAGAGGCAGCTGGCCATCTTCTTGCGGCGGCTCTGGCGGAGTCTGGGTGGCTGGCACAGGAGGGACACTGAGACCCAGCTTCCACCAGGCCAGACGCTCCCCACCTTGCCACTCTGCCAGTCAGATCCCAGGGTCCTGCCTCCCCCGCCCTCCAGGCCAGAGCAGGAGAGGCAAGCAGGGCGGGGAGGGCAGAGTCTGAGAAGACAGGGAGGGGTTGCTGGAGCAGCTGGACGTACCCTCCAGCACCAGGGACACGTTGTGGTTGCAGAAGGGGCTGTAGCAGCAGTAGTGGTTGAAGAACTCGGTGGGCCGCCCCTTGCAGAGCTCCTGGTTCAGGTTCCCGCAGCCCCGATGTTCCTGGAGGTGTGTGCCCTCCTCCCGCACCAGCACTACTGTGCACCAGGCCCCCTGGCAGGTAGGCCCTTTGCAGTGCGGGTTCTCACACGTGCAGGTCACCAGCGGGCCCCGAGAGGGCTTCACGGGGTCGCCTGGGAGACACACTGGAAGCTCAGCTGCTCTGGGCCCAACTCCCCAGAATGAGCCTAATACCCAGGTCTGCCCCCTGCACCCCCCAACCCCAGCTTCTGAGCTCTCAAATCTTTGAGGCCTTGGTCCTTCAGTTCCATCCCCAGATTATCCTTCCCTCCAGTGACTTATTCCTGCCAGGGGCAGCTGCCACCAGGAGAACCAGGCTTCTGTCCCTTCCCTGAGCCTAGGACCTCCCCTCCCAGTTCCAGGCCCAGCCCAGCCCCCAGCCCCAACTCTGAGGGCTCTCCCAGGCCCGCACCCCCAGATAGAGGTCCCGCCCTGGAGTCTGACAGAGCAGCAGTCTGCGGGTTTGGGTCAGGAGGACAGCACGGGAGGGTTGGGGTAGCCGGGAGCTTAGTCTCACTGAGCCCGTCTCCCACCCTCCAGCCAAGTTCCTAAGTCCCCCTCCTCCCCAGCTCAAGTTCAGCCCAACAAGAGCTGCGCCCAGGTAGCCCTTTCTCCACCCAGGCCCCTGTTCCATACTCGCTCCCCAGTACTCACCCTGGGTCAGGCCCAAGGCCGTCAGTAGCATCAGAAGGGTTCTCCTGGGAGGGTCCAAGGTCATGGTCCCTGGAGAGGAGAAGGGGTGCAATAACATCTATGAAATGTGATCCCTTCAGTGTTTTCAGCCACTGACCGTGGGTCCCTCCCACCCAGAGGAAATCACTGGGAGTTTTTTTGTGGGGGGGCAGGGAGGCCTCCTCCCTCCTCCCTGTGTCTGGCTTTGGGGAGGGGCCTGCAGGGGAAGTCCTGGTTCACTTCCCCATGGAAACCATCCTGTTAGGGGTAAAGGGTGGGGAGCCATGTTTAAGTGACTGAGAGCCCGGGGGACTCCCAGCTCTCCTGCTGCTGAGTGCAGACTGGAGGGTGCAGAGGGTGGAAGGAGACTACGGGACTAGGGTAGAAGGGGCATCTCTTCAGCAGTACCACCACCTCTGTCCCCTGCCCCCTTGCCCACCCCTTGGCAGCCTCCACCCCTGCCCACCCCTTTCCCAGTGCCCCCGCCCCCCCGGCCTGGCTGCCTCAAACATAAACAGTCTCCTGTCTTCACTTCCTGCCATTCAGGGTCCCGCCAAGCTGGGAACAGGAATCAAGATTGTTTAGATTGGGGTCTGGATAGAACAGGCAGGAGTCACGCACAAGCAGGGAGCAGGACATATTCTCAGGGCAGGCTGGAGTGGCCACAGGGTCTGCAGGGGCCGCCCGGGGCTGGGGCACCCCCATGATGGAGTCCTAGGAGGAAACCGTGTGAATCACGAAGGCCAGCTCTTATTTTAGAGAAGTTGGGGATTAAGGCTCAGTCAGGAGAGGAGGCTTGTGCAAGGTCAGGCAGGATTCAGTGGCAATACCGGGAGTACCACCCGGGTGTCCAGACCCCCGGTCCAGTGTCTTTCTACTCCATATCGCAATCCAGGGTGGCAGCCCACGTCTGAGCCCTCAGGGTTGTAACAACCATACAAAGCTTGGACAGTGCTGGGCTGTGCCAGGTGTGAAGGAACCTCTCTGCACCCTCATCAGAGTATAAGACGCCCTCTCTGAGCCACTCCCCGGCCCCCTTCTCTCTCCTTGCCGTCCTGGGAAAGAGTGGGGGTAGGGCCAGTGATGTCGAAGGGAAGTGAAACATACTTAGATGTTGAATGTTTGACCTTCTGTGGCTGGTTGAACTTTTCCAGAAGTTTGGTGGAGAGCACTAGGGGAGTAATTCTGACCTATAACAGTCCCCATCTCAGCTCCCAAACCATCCAGTGCTTCAGAAGCCACATCCTTCTTCATTTCTCCAAGGTTTAGAATGAGAAGATTAGGGCTGAGGCTGCAGCAAGAAGGACTGAGGTCAGACAGCAAGAAGGACTTTCTGAATGGTGGAGAGTATGCAGGTGTGTGCCTGGGGACTGGATCCCCAGGTAGGGGCAGCTGCCACGAGGGAGGGGGAGTGTCTTCTGGCATGACATGGTAAGGCTGGTAGGGCTGGGCACATGGCCACATAGGCTGCAGAAGGCCCCTAGTCTAAGAACGGTGCCAAATGAAGATCCACGATGCTGAGGCTCTGAGGGCAGGATGACTCGTGGGGGGATGAGGGGGGCGCTTCGTGGGCCTCTCTGGCTGGTGGCAGCTCTGGCCTTCCTGCCTGGGCTTCCTCTGCCCCAGAGGCCCAGGGCTGGGGGAGGAAACGGAGCCCTGGGCTGCTGCAGCTGTGTCCCCAGCCTCTGCCTGACCTCCTGCCTCTTGCCCCTCCCAGAAGGCAGTGGGGAGCCTGGCAAGCCCTCTACAGTGGGACTGGTGGCTGGAGAGGGAGCCCCAGACAAGCCGAATTTGCCCACTGGGGTAAGGGCGAGAATCCATCCTTGGCAGTCTTTGCCCAGAGAGCAGCTAGGGAGAGCGTATGCAGCAAGAAGCAAAAGGGGGTAACAATAGGATGACAGCCGGCAGCCTTCTAGAACCCTCTACCCATGCTGTCACCTCTCTGTGCTCCAGCGCACCCTCTCACCTACACAGTTCCTCAGCAGAAGCACCTGAAGTGCTTCATTAGAAATGCACGTTCTTTGGTCTCACCCCCACTCCAGATTCTGATTTAGTCCATTGGGACCAGTAAGAAACACGCATTTTAAAAAACGTCCCCAGGTAATTCTGATCAGTTTGTGTGGGTACCACACTTTGAGAAGTGGGTCCTACACAATGCTGACTGGTCCCCGTGCTTTCATTTCACTGCGCAGGACCCCGCTGGGTGAGTGGGAGTGGAGTGCAGGGGGCAGGGACTCTAATTCCTACCCGGGGACCTCTCCCCCCTTCTACTGGAGAAGGGACAGACAAGGCTAAACACTGAAACCAGGGACTCAGAGACACGGCGGAGGGAGGGCAGGGCGCGGGCTTTGTTCAGGACATGTCCAGCCTCTGGGGCCCAGGAACAGTGCAGGGAGGGCTTGGTAGCATTTGCAGAATCCGCCTCTGGTCTAATCCTGGGAATGTAGTGGAGGCAAACTGCGACTGTCCAATTTCTAGCCGGGCCTGGCGTAAGATTAGGTACAAGAGGGTGCTGAGTCCAGACCAGTCCCAACTCCGAGCTGACCCTGGCTGATTCGCCCTGAGACCTGACTCTACCACAGACAGACTCCTGGGGACTGGTGGACTCCTTTCATGTCTAACAAAACTTCTTGAAAGATCTCCTGCTGACTGAAGCAACACAGTTGTAAGCCAGAAATCACAAATGCTAAACTAATTTCAAATATTAACTCACCACTGTGAAATTCTTAGTAATAAGAGTTAACCTCCTCTGAGTAATACTTATGTGCTAAGTACCGAACTTTGACGGTTGATCTCATTTAGTCCTCACGACAATCCAATAGGGAAACGGAAGCTCAGGGATGTCAGGTTTCTTGCCCAGAATCACCAGGTATGTCTTGATCAGCTTAAATTGCTGGTAAGAAATCCTCACTTGGTCATTTTATTTCTGCTGTTGTTTGGTGTTAGGTAGGTCCCTCAAAAGAGGAAAAAGAGCAAGCGGGGGTTGCATGAACAGACTGCAACTGTCATCACCTGCTGCCCAAATGCGGGTTTGTTTAGAAATCATCTGTTTGCTGTAGGCTTAGCCCTAGTTGGGGAGAAGCAGAGTAGAGGTGTGCTCAGAAGGTGGATGTCAATCCCTTTCTCCCCAGCACACCTGAAGGATTGATATAACCGGCTCCCAGCAGCAGCAGTGGCTCAGCACAGCAGTGACTGTCATGGGGCTGGAAGTGCCTTGCTCTGCACATCGGCAGAGGACCATACAGCAGAGGACCAGGCTGAGCTGCTCATCCTGGGTTGCCCCTTAACTGCCACAAGGCACTTTCATCCGCATCACTTCACAGCGCTGGGTTGTAGCATCAAGTCTGGATTTTAGGATCTCAGACAGAATGCAAACGCGGCACAGTACAGCACAGAGGTCAGGTTGTGGTCTCTGGATCATGTAGACCCGGATTCAAATCCTGCTTCTACCACTTAGGGCTATGAGATTTGGGACAAGTTACTTGAACTTTCTGAGGCTTCGGCTCCCCTATGAAAAATGGGGAATAATAATAGTGCTCATTTCATAGGTATAATGTAGTAAAATTATTTAGCAGAGTACTAAGTGGTACACAGTAAGCACTTAATAAATGTTACTAAACACCCAACCATCCATGGAGCTTTGGACAAGTGATTCAAATCTGAATCTCTTTCCTCTTCTGTAGGATGGACATAATAACACCTCTTCTGCTAGGTTGTGGCCAGGATTACATGACAAAAATGCATCTAAGTGTCTACATAGTAGTACTCAATAAATGGTAGCTATTTTTAACCACCTGATCAGATGAGAGGACAGGTACCAGGCCAAACAAACAGTAAGGGGTAAGAGATGTCGGACAGACCCTGACTCAGCCAGAAGCTGCCCATATAGAGAGGGTGAGAGCTACCGTCCACTCTGCCCCTGTCCTTAGAGAAGAAAAGAGGGGGTGGGTGGCCAGCCTTGGGATGGTCATAACAGCACTGGTCTCCAGACTGACCTCCAGGGCAGACTGAAAGCCTGGGGTCCCAGGCTGGAGGGAGACTGGGATCCCCTCTGACCTGGATCCTGAAGGAAGTCCGTGCATTGGGGATTATCTGACCACACAGGGTTGGAACTGAGGTTTGGAGGAGGGAGTTGTAGTGTCAGATTCCTTTGGCAAGAGCGGCCAGGACTGGTCTGGGAAAGATGGGCTCAACAGTGCTGGGAGTAGACACCCACCCCCAGGTCAATCCAGGTTCCTGGAAGGACATGTGACCCCCTTCTCTGTAAATGAAGGAGGGCAGGGATCCTTCCGCCCATTTTATGGATGAGGATGAGAGAAGCTAAGTGACGGGCCCCCAGGAGCAAAGTTTTCTGATTCCCAGTGCGGGTTCGGTCCAGCCCCCTCCAGTCTTAGGTGGGGTGATGGGCAGATGTTGGTGGAGGGCGAGGGGCGGCTTGCACTACGAGGAACTGGGACTGACCCTACAGCGACCTCTCTGAGGGTCTCTCTGGGATATGCCATGGGGAGGGCCCACTGGGGTTGGGGTCAGCCGCCCCCCCCGCAACGGCCCGGCCCGCGGACCTCGACTCACCTCTGGGCCTGCCCTGCGGGCAGCGCGGCGCGAGCGTGCAGCAGGCGGCCTCCACCCCTCCCCGGCGGCGGCCGCGGTCGCACGACGGGCGCTGGACAGAGGGCCAGGGTCTGGGGTCCGGGCGCGGCCCCGGGCAGGGCTGGGGCCGGGGAGGGGCTGGCTCGGCGCGGCTGGCGCGGCGGCCTCCCGGGACTGGGAAAGGGGCCGGAGCAAAAATGTTTCTTATTCCAGCGTCTTCCTGCCTGGCCCGGCTCCACCACTCCCTCCTAATAAACCGTTTCCTATTGCCCAGCTAGCCGACGGCCACCCGCTCGACCCTCGCCAGGGCTCAGGGCCGGACCCTCCCCTGCGCGGCTGCAGATCCCGAGGGCGGCATCCCCCTCGGCTGCCCCCGCCCGGGATCAAGGCCGCGCTCCCGCCCCCAGCCTCCCACATCCGCCTCCCCGAGGGGGCGGGCCTTGGCCTTGGGCCGCGGGGGTCTCGCGGGGTTCAGGCCCAGAGCCGTGGGAGCCAGTGCTGGGACGCTAGGCACCGTACGAGGGCCGGCCGGGGGAGGGGTGGAGGTGGAGGTGCCCCTCCCCGCTCAGAGCCGCTGAGGGGCGGCCTGGAATCCTGGACGGGTAGGGGGCACCGAGGGAACGACATGCGGGGAGGGCAGAATGGAGAGAAATTACCTGTCTTCTCACCCAAAACTCCAGCTCCTCCTTCTAGAAGGCTCAGAAGCAAGGGCAGACTTTGGGGCTGGCTGGATGCGAAATATTTTGGCTCCGCCCGCCCCCCCCTCGGGGACTCCCCCCTCTGTCCAAATCCTTCAGCCTCCTCCCTCGGCCCCTTCGCCCCCCTCCGCAGCCTCTCACTACTCAGCGCTCAGCGCAGGGTAAACAGGCCCAGATGGGGCAGCTCTGAGTCAGGGGTGACGGTGGGATGGCTCTTCTGCACCACGGGCGGTCAGAATGGAGGGAGAGGCTGGGAACTGCCGTGGACTGCCCCCTTCGAGGCCGCCCCTCACCCCACCAAGTGGAGCTTTAGAGCTGGGGACGGGGAGCCTCCCTCAGGACACTGCTGGGACAAGGCGGACAAGGTGCTTTGGGGAGGGGAGCAGAATGGCTTCTCCTGGAGAGAGAAGCAAACCCTTCCTCCTCATGCCCTTGCCTGGGCTCAGAACAGTGACCTTGTTGACTTGCTTTGCTCCAACCACTGTGAGCACCCTGAAGGCAGGACTCCGCTTCATCCCTAGCCTCAGGTTATCCTCAAAGACTCTGAAGTCAGAATCCAGAGCAGTTGTATAACCCTAGACAAGTGACACCTCTCCGTGCCTCAGTCCCCCATCTGCTAAATGGGCATAATAAACAGTGCCAGCCTCATAGGGTTGTCCGGAGAAGGAAGGGACATGATGCTTATCTCAGTTCATAGCAAAGATGCTAGCTGGCTGAGCCTGGCACAGGACCTCCATGACAGTATTTAACTAAATTAATAAATGAAAAGGTTGGGGAGGTGATGGCCTCAGAGCCAGGTGGAAAGATGTTGGTGTTAGAAGCAGAAGCAGACTTCTAAGGTGTCTTGCTCTAAGATGGGGATTCTGTAAGATGGGCCAGGGCATCCCTCCCAGGCCCCCACACCCTCTCCGACAGGAATAGAGGCTGGGGGAGACAATGACTAAAGGCTCAGACGAGCATCAATTGTTGACTGACCTCACTTCCTCTGCTGAAACCCTTCCCAGCCCCCACCCACAGCTGCTTCACAACTTGTGAGCCTTGTGAATTCCAGAACCAAGGCACACCCAAATTTCAGTGTCAGGGCAGAACTGTGTCCTGCAGCCAATAGGAAGTACTATGGGATTACAGTATCTGCTCTTTCAGATTATAGCGGCCGCTTTAGCACACTATTAGCTGGAGAACTGGGAGTGTGCTGGTGTCCATCTTTCATATCCACTCTCCCCCATGCCTTGCTGTGGTTTATGATAAACCCTTCCCAATCCCAGCCCACGGATCTGTGTCCTGAGAGGTGGAAGGAGGGGGGGGGGGTGCTTCCCCAAGGGAAGCATTCCGTCTGAAACACACACTGAGAACAGAAACATCGAGATGGACAAGAACTGAGCATCGCTGGGGAGAGTCAGTGGGGATGGGGGACTTTATGTGGGAAGAGTTCATGAAACAGATAAAAGGAGAGCAGGGTTTGGAGGAGGAAGACGGGGCCCGATGCAGGCTGGCTGTTCCTCAGGGCTGGAGTCTCCCCACCTCTCCAGAGCATGGAGCCCTGTGGACCCTGACGGGTGTGCTTTGGGGCTTCCTGTGGACTCCATGCTTTCCACAAAACACAGAGAACCTGGGGAAGGCATCAGAGGAGGGACACAGAGTTGGAGAAAGCACTGGAGACTCAGCCCAATGAGGAAAGGGAAAAGGAATTACAGACTGCGTCCAAGTCTACAAGAATTAATTACTCAAAAGGACCAGCTGTTCCCCATATACAGTGAGGACAGAATAAGAGGAAACAGGCGTAAAGGGCCAAGACTTAGTTAGATTTAGACATTTAGAAGAATTTCCCAGCAGTGTGTGAAGCAGAGGCCTGGAGATCCTAGGAAAGGTATGTGGGGTGAAACTTCAAGGAGATTCTCACCTATGGAAGGCAGGTAACATGAAGGCAGGGGATTGGACAACTTGACCTTTCAGGACAAGCTATGAATGTTGAGTTCAAGCATTGCTCTTGATACTAGGGCAGGGCCGGCTTCGCGGGTGTCCAACCTGTACAGACACCACGCTCGGTTTAATGCTCTGCTGGTACCATCTTGGAATTCTTAATCATGTTTGAAAAAAGGGCCCAGCATTTTGCACTGGGCCCCACAAATTATGTAGCCAGTTCTGCACTGGGATGAGTAGGAAGGAAGAGCAAGGAGTGGGACTTCCCTGGGTCCAGTGGTAAAAAATCGGCCTTCCAAGGCAGGGGATATGGGCTCCATCCCTGGTCTGGGAACTAAGATCCCACATGCCACGGGGCAACTAAGCCCTTGCACCACAACTACTGAGCTCGCGCGCCTCCACAAGAGAGTCCGCATGCCACACACTACAGAGCCCACGCGCCCTGGAACCTGCGTGCCACAACTAGAGAGAGAAAACCCTCAGGCCACAACTAGAGAGAAGCTGGCACGCCGCAGCAAGACCCATCGCAGCCAAAAATAAAAAACAAACAAAAATACCCAAATAAATAAAGAAAATAAATAAATATTTTTTTTAAAAGAAGCAAAGCAAGGAGGGTGGGACGGTTAGCAGAGGGTGAGGTGGGCTTTGCTCCATTTAAATTGAGAGTGGGAGATTTAGATCAGGCAACCTAGGGAGTTTTTCAAATGAAAACAGTAGAACAGGATACATAAGGAGGAAGAACTGTGGGTCTCCTTCAGGGAGGAAGTGGGGCAGATTCCTATGAATTCCATTTATCCATCTGTTCAACACAGAGGAGAGAGTCTCAGCTCTGAGGGCTGCAGGGAGAGGACGTGCCCTCCCTAGGTCTCCTCCGCTCAGGCCAGAGGCACCCTTCCGCCATTACTCCATTACCATGGAGTCCTGAGAAGAGAGGTAAACCAGGCCTGGCTTAGACCAGATCCTCCCAAAGGTTCTTCCCAGCCTTGTGTTATCTCCTTTGGCTGTAAGATTCAGGAAACCACCTGGTCCTGGGCCCTGACACCACAGCTCAGGTGAAAAGACAGTTTGGCCACTGCTAATGTTTGGGGAGGGTAGGGCAGCCAGAGCTCTGTCCAGCACCTCAGGAAGAGGCTGGCAGACAGAGGCCACATTTTGAGCCACTGAGTCACCTTCCTCTTCCTCTCCAGCTCTTCCAGGATGTCCCCTAGATGGGTTTGTCCACTCCTTGCCCAGCTGGAGCCCTGAGGATGACTCATCTCAGGGGGGAAGCTCTTAGGAAAGGGATGGCACTACAGGGCAGGAGACTGAGATGAGACGGTGCCCGCACGATGCCTCGGGGGCCTGGGCTCTGTTGAGAAGCTGCCCCAGTCCCATCTCCTCCTCGGCAGTCCAGCAACCTGTGGATTGCCCCTCCCCACGGGCCTCCTCGAGGCCCTGACTCTCCTCCTCCAAACCGGCCCCAGCGCTGGAGGAGAGCACCCAGGCTCACCCTCCATACCTGTAAAAAGGGGCTGCGAATTCCAGCTCTACCACATTCTCCAAATAAAAGCAAAATACCTGTGAACATTCTCCTCTAGCTGTGAAACTCTCACAGCTGTCCGGCTTTGAGAGAAGGAGACTGTGCTGTGAGGCAGGAGAAGGGCGTGAACTGAGAGTCTCCAGGAGGGCGGAGGCTCGCCTATGTGACAGGGGCCTCAGTTTCCTTACCTGTTCGGAGAGGAGCCCTAAATACCGCCTCTTCTATGAATAGCTCTCTGAGGGGTTGTTGTATAGATGAATGCAGAGCCACTGCAGAGGACCTGGAGGCACGAGGCAGCCATTCTGAAAATAACTCAGGAAATCCTAAAGACACACAGAGTAAATACACTTTAAAACTCTGCAGAAGAGTTTATAACGAGAAGTGACTGTGTCCATCCCCAGACCCTCTTGCTGGGGCCGTCCCCTTCCCAAAGCTATTTATTTCTCTGACATTTACCTCTATAACTCTAGATAATATGTTTACACTTCGATCTCTAGATTGTTTTCAGCTTTACTGAGGTATAACTGACAAACACAATTGTAAGGTATTTAAAGTATAAACATTGTAAATCAACTATACTTCAATTTTTAAACAGATGCAAGATTTTACCAAAAGATATTTAAAATGTACATCGTGATGATTTGATATACATATCCATTGTGAAAGGATTCTTCCCATCTAGTTAATTAACACATCCATCACCCCACATATTTATCTTTTTTTTTTTGATGAGTAAAATTTAAGTGCTACTCTCTCAGCTAATTTCAATTATACAATCAAGTGTTATTAACTATA